ACTTAATATAACGAAAATAAAAAAATTTGTTTTAACCTCGGATTGTACAGAGGCATAAAAGTACTTCGCCTATAAAAATAGAGAATATTCCACAGATGCGTATCATTTTAGTTGAATAATTTATCTATATTAGAATGTCATTTGTATTATTTACATTGTTATAATTACAATTATAATGTAAGCCGTTTACAGCGGAACAAGACTATCGCATTTAGTCATAAATATTAAAAGTTTACAGTAAAATAAAAATTAAAGAAAAATAATTTACACTCAAAATGAAAAATACATTGCGTTATTTTTTGGTAAAACAATATATATGGAAAAAAGAAATCGGTAAATGTGATAAGTAAAAGTAATTGAAATACCTGACTTTTTTAAATTTTATTAAAAACGTGACAAAAGTATATATTTATAGATGACCTCAGTAGAGAAAACAGAACTCTATAATGTGTTTTTAAGTGTGGGATAATAAAAATTATCAATTGTTTTAAACGGTGAAATAATATTTAAATTAGACGTAAAATCGCATGTCAGCAACAGGACTTCACATAAACAACTGAATGTTATATTGGATTAAAAAACTACATGCGTATTTAATCGGTAAGCCAAAGGGCATTTTAGACTTTATTTACAAAATATAATAATCCTATAATAACGGTCAAGATATTCGTTAGTTCACTTTCTTCCAACACATTAATGTGCTGTCGACTTTTTACGGACTTCTTGCTATTAACTAATTTAGTTTAACTGAACTCTGGAATCATAACATACGCAAGCACATGTCGGAAATTAGTAGCGCATTCAAAATTAAAACTATAGTATGTTGTCTGATGGATCTTAATGTCAAAAATTTTTTTTTTATCAAACAAAAATGTGTCCATAAGAATACGATGCATTGGATGAGAAAGAATTTTTTTAGTTTACTGTTCATTTTAAAAACTTAAATATTTAAATGTATGAAATTTGAGGTTGTAGTTTTCCAAAACTATAAACATCAATTACCAGAGTGACCAATTCGATTCCAAACATAATAAATAACCTAGCTGTTTAACTATACGCCTTTTTGAATTATTTTAACGATTCGAATATATATAACGAAAGTACAGTCTTAAGTAAGAAATATAATCTTCATAATATTTTTTGAAAGATTAAGACTATTTTGAGAGAACCCAGCGATAGTAATACATTAAAACGAAAGTAAAAAAAGTCAACAAATTTTATTATAAGATAGATATGTATATATACATATATATCTGGAGCTTACGTGGGACGTCTATATACAGAGTAATAAGTTTATAATAAACCACTCAATTACTCGCAAAATAAATACAATACAAAAAAAATATTTGTTTTTATTTAGTTACATATATTTCTTGATTTACAAACTATTATTTACTTTTTAAAATCATTCCTTATTGAGATGTTTAACTTATTGGAATGTCAATTTTATTTTTTCAATCTAATTAAGAATATTACAGGTCGATATCAACTTTCAGAAGTTATAAGCATTTTATATTTGTGGCTGGAGCGAGACGTGGGTGTTATTTTAATCAGTTGTCATTTCTCAGTTTAATTTTTCCTACCGCTTAGACATAAAAATAAGAATATCTTCCGATATACTGGTCCAAAACTAGTTATGGAGTCGTCATTTTTTTTATATCATAATCTATTGAATAAGCTAGTTAATTATGTATGTTGTTAATTGAAAAAATAATGTTAATATCCCAATAAGTTATAAGGGATGATTCTTAAAAGTTAATGACAGTTTAAAATACAGTAAATTGATCAGCTAGTATGTGTTTAGCGTTGATTATGGTAACATTGTTTCCAAAATACGTTTTTCAGTAATTTTTTGTGGCTTTTTGAATTTTATATTTTTTATTTTTTAAATTAAAAATATTTTTAATATAGTATTAATTTTATTTAATTAATTAGCCACAAGTGATTAATTATTATTATAGTATATAAGTCCTAATAAATATGTTTATAATTAAGTTTAAAATAGTCTTTTACTACAATGTCTAATTAATAAGTCATTTTCAACGATATACAAATTTAACAAGGATAAATTGGGTTATTTAAAGATTATTTTAACTTAAAAATTTACTTAATAACATATTGTCAGGAGAATTCTTGAATGATTCGATATCTTATGTGTCATTAAATACTTGTTGTTGGCTAACAAAACCATTGTTTAATTCAATAAAGAAGAAATCTAATGAAACAATAGTATATAATTTTAAAATGTATAGTTTATCAAACCCAATTTCGAAATTCAACTCGATAAAAATATAATCATATTAGAAGATATTCATTTAACATTATGTATACGTTTTACCTCTTAAATTCTTAATTACTGGTAGTTCTATTTCATCGAATGGATTCAATGGAATTAAGTATTATACTGACAAAAACAATAAATTTTAACTCAAAAAGCAATTAGAAGATTTAAATATACATATATTTAAAATAAATAATTTAAGATTTGAATTATAGTTTCAGGTTCATGGACAAATGATCAACCAAATAAAGTCTTTTAAGTACATCGGGAAATAAATTTACCAAGGTCAATTTATAGTTGGTCAATAAGGAATCACTATCGTATTTTTTCTTACACCAAAAGCCTATATTGTGTTCATAAATACATTAATTGTTCCTAGTTGTACAAGCTGTTCCAAACGTGTATGGTTATTTGTAAAAAAATTGCTTTTACATAGACAACTCAATTACTTGAAAATTTAAACCCCAGCGGTCAAGGCCAAATCATTTAAACGGGTCATGTAGCAATAAAGCACTAATTATATTGTACATTATTTCTCAATAAAAACGATTGTTCATAAAATATGTATTTATGGACATCTTGAGAGAAGCCGCAAAGTCAACTAAGAAACGTGTTTTTTTTAATCCACACACTATAACTGGGTCGATTCTAGGTGGAAAATAAGAGAATTTCTTTAGTCTATTTGCAATATTCTTGGTAATTCTAAAATATATAAAAATACCAACAACCATTTCCCCTATAGGAGCAAATGTACACGCTTATTCTATACCTTAATTTAAATGCGAATTTAATTACCCTGATGATAAATCAAATCAATCGATTTTACAGTATAAAAAAATTAGTTAATAAATTTATATGCATTGTATATGTCATCCAAAACCCTCAAATCTATCAATTTACACATGTTTGAGTATTTAAAATTTAGTAAAAAACAAGAAGTGAAAATGAATAACATTTCTTTTAGCTTGATTTAATAATTATTTAATTTAACTGGTATAGAACACATCTTTTTGATTTTTACATTTTTTTGTTATTCATTCATTTTTATTTGACAATTTAACATTTTATTTAGAAAAAAATAAGATATTAATAGAAAGTTTATTTTATGAATCCGACCACAATATTACTGAAAAATAAGTCAATATAGGTTATATAAAATTATGCTATTTTATTATATTTTATGTACAATAATTGTACATAAAATAATTATTATATTATTATATATTTTATTTGTAATAAAATAAAAATGTATAAAATAATATAATAATTTATATCAATGCAATGATTAGATAAAAAGACAAAATAAAGAATTTTATTTTGTTTTTTATGGAACCCTTCACAAATTCTCCATCCAATCAAGGATTACTACTCTACAAGAAAATAGAAATATTGACTCTTGGAATTTAATAATAGAAACAGACCGACAATGTTGAATTCAGAATTTATTTTTTTGAGCTCTAAGCATTAGCGCAAGCAGAAAAAACAATATTTCAATATTTTTTTTTATCAAATTACTTTAAAAAATAAATGATTCTCAATTCAATACTACATGAAAAATCACATCAACTTTTTAAAATAGTTATCATTGTTACAATAAGATTGCTAGGGGTGCTAAAAATATCAGAGGCTTTAATCTCCCTGAAGTATACCTGGATTAAACATTGAAGACTGGGGATAATTACACAATACATAATAAATTACTACTACATACATTGCTATTATTGTCATTACTATTAAATCTAAGGAGATTTGTTTACATTGATATCATGAATATAGTCAAAGTAAAAAAGTTAAGAGGATACTATTACCCTTATACCATTTTGAACATACATATATTTTGTATAAATCTTTATAAGGACACTTATTAACTGTCATAAGGAACTGAATATTCTTACATCCTCCCTTAAGTCATACATACACTACCACCATTGACAGGTGTTATTTACAATTAAGAATATGAAGTATACAATTAAAAAATCTTTGTACAAATTAGTTTTATAGAACTTAATTTTATTATTTATATTGCAAAGAGAAACGCTATTTAAATATCTATCTCATATAATCATGATTAAATTTCTCTCAAAAAACATTTTTTTTCTCTAAAATATAAGAAATTAAAAAAAAAAATATGACTATAAATTAAACTTCAAAAAATCAGTACATAAGATCTACATTTTTATAAATAATTTTACAGCAACAATGTGAAAATTAGTATGCATTTATATTATATTTTAATTTTTTATCATACAAAAATTTAAATTATGTCTATATAATAATTTAAAGTTATATACAACAACACCTATTTTTAATTATCTCTAAACAATTCATTGAAAACATACTAAGTTAATTGTTATGATTAATATGCGATTAATCATGATTTAACAAATTAGAAAATACACCCACGCTTAATTTTCATGGTTAAAAGTCCAATAAAAATACAATGATAACAAGAGATAAATTCTGATATTGAACACTAAATTTTTACATTTTCTATAGCTGCACTAAAATAATATTCTTTAATAACTATACAAACACTACAGAATTGTCATAAATGCTGAAATTAATTAATAAGCTAAAAATTCCATAAATTTACTAATTATTACTTGCAAATAAAATAATTGAAATAGAAAAAATACCGTTTAGAGTTTACGAATACTTTTATCAGAAATATGTATTTCTACATTTAAAATTATTATACATTAATTGAGATAAAACTCACTTAGTAAGAGTTATTCGAATGACTGGAGATTATTAGCTAAAAAGCGTGGCCAAAATCAATCGGTATTACCACAGTCCAAGTACTTTCTACATCATTTGTAAATAATGTCGTTTATATATCTCGTTCAATATCTCCTGTATTGATTTTCTGGTCCGAACAGAATAAGATTGCAGTTTTATGATAACAAATAACAGCACCAGGTAATAACGTCTAAGAATTGTGCACTGCAATGGACAAACAGACAAAAACACACTAACGCTTGGCGCGCACACTCAAACACGACTCTGGGTGGTGAATCAGATGACAGACGCCGAATTAAAAATCTATGCACAACGCCCTCTAGCTGTCTTTATCACCGACTAAGCACAATTGAATTTCAAATTTTTAACATAAAACATTGATAAATTAAGATAACATATACTACTGACTAGTAGTATATAAAACCAAAACCACATTTAGAAAAAAATTTAATCCTTTTTTTTTCATTAATTAGTTATTTAATATATTATAAAACTATTTTAATGAGTTTAAAGGACATTCGAACTTTTTATTCGAAAAGGGGGTGTTGCCCATTGGTTCTCAATAGAAATTTTATTTTCTCTTTTTACGGCCCATTGAGGACGATTGTGTTTTCCCCTAAGAGGAAGTTTCTTAACAAAGTATACTCCGAGATAGGTGGTTAGTCCATCGTCAAAGAGAGGAATGACAAATCCAATCACTGAACAGATTTTTCATTCGGCAAATAGAGCCGCTTATGATTTAGTTTCTCGAACCTGAGACAGTGCACTTTAAGTACTGTGGCGTTTCCGTCTCAAACATACAACAATATAATTAATAAAAAAAGGTTCTTTTTTAATCTTTATTGAATAAATTGACTTTTTTTAAATTTTATTTTCTCATTTATCAATCAAAATGTTGGTTTGAAATCAACCAATTGCACATCTAAGTACGGTCTGGAGTTAACAAAAAAATAACTATATGCAACAGTCTTCTCCCACAGAATCATAATAATAATAGATAATGTTCATTCAGTGAATCTACTACTTATGCCTCGTTCAGAATTATGTAACTAACATATTTTATAATAAAATTTGAACTCATAAAAATACATTAAAACTAAAAAACGGTAGCACAGTGAGGTCGTAGCATAGCGTGTACAAGTATCGATGATATATAACAGTGATAAAAATCACTATCATAAGAAACGCTTCGATTCAAATCTGTAGATAGTGTTTTATTTATAGAAGGAATTATTAGATTATTTCAAAATGAACTACTATATCCTTAATTATATCTTGATTACACGTTGAATGATTTATATGTATAATATATAAATAAATAATTATTATACTAATTAATAAAATTGAAGGACTTGATACAAAACTTTACAAAAAATGATTTGATATTAATTATGAATTAAAGGTTTTACAAGGAATTTTTATCAGATATCAAAATATGCTTTTAATATTTAATTTTTTGTACTAATTTCAAATCTGCAATCAGTTTTTTTCTATCACCACTAATTAATATTTTTATATTATTACTAATTAGTTAAAAACTATAGGATATAACTATAATAAATATAGTTCTAAATATTTTTATTATATCATACATTTAAACACCATGAGTTACATAGAAATGAATAATATTTCTATTGAAATAAATTATTATGATATAAATACAAAAATATAATAAATTATTTTAACAAAATTTTGTGCTTTTCTTTAATAAATTTACTGTTAATAGTAATTGTATATATTTCTGACCATATATCAATCTAAAAAAAACAATTTTTGAAATCTTTAAAAAATTTTACATATTATATTCAACTTTAAACTTACAAGTTTAACTAAAAAAAGGTTAAACTTCAACATTATTCAATTATAACTTTCATAAAAATCAATTTTAAAGAACCAAAAAAATAGGTAAAACATGAAATTTAGTGCCAATTATTTTTAACGTATTAAAAAAATGAATTTTTAAATGTAAATACTCGTTTTTATAGTAATAATGTCATAAAAAGAGGCGATGGAAAAAATCTAAATGTAGTTATTCAATCTAAATGAGATAAAAATCAATAGAATTTTGAATTTTTCTTCACCTTAAAAAGAATTCAAAATAAAATGCAAAAAAAAGCCATTTACGGACTGACTTGGCCGCGTACCCTGAAAGTGAAACTCTAAAGTGTGATTGACTCGACAACCATAAACATAATATAAATATTTAAACTAGTTCGAAAATTCAGTCGTTTCTTTTAATATAAGAAACACAAAATATTCAAAATAAGTAAAAATTTATATTCAATTAAAGTTAGATCCAATTAACTTTTATAAAAATCGGTAGACTCATTATTATGGCAAATCTTTGTAAGGTATTTTTATATAAAAATATTATAGAAATATAAAATTAAAAATGTATGAAATCAACAATTTTAACACAAAAATAGCACATTTTTAAATATCCAAAGTTCAAAAATTTTTTTTCATACTTAACTATTTTGCTTAATTTAACTTATGATGTATATAAAAGTGTGAGTATTTCCGGAACATTTTCAAAAGTTCTATCTTCTATACGCATTTTTTAGTTTTAAACTCCCCCTGTATAAAAGGAAATGGTCCGATATATAGTATTTATCATGAAAAGTTGTAATGATCCATACATTTTTCAAAAAGTTAAAAATATAAAATCAAGAATTTTATCACATAATTAGCAAATTTTTGAATATGATAGCCATTTTCATCATGAAGACAAATCCAGAGATCAATTTTTTTTTCAAATTAAATTATATTACATAAGTTTTAATTTAAGATACATAAAAAAGTATCAGTATTTCCAGAACTTTATCAAAAGTTAATTTTTTGTGAAAAGTTTGCTATTTTGAAACCCTTTCTGTGGGCAAGTAAAGGGTCAGATTTTTAAATAATAAATACCAAATGATAGATAAATACTTAATGTATTTATAAAAAAATTTTGTTACTATTATTCTATTTTTTAAAAAGTTATGGAAGTTTTATGTAAAAAAAATTGAAAAAATGTCGAAAGAAACGAGGTAAATTTTTTCAATTTTTGAGGGTAATGTCATAGACCAGATACAATTTGTAATCTTTTAAAATATTATTCATAAAAATCGGTCCAGTAAGAGCTGAGAATAAATGGTAAAAGATACAAAAAACACAGCATAATAAAATTAATACCTTCTCAGCTATGCATCGAATCTAAAACTTAAATCTTTTTTACTTTGAGGTAAGTAAAAATGTTAATAGTTACTAAAAATATAAATACAATTAGTTTATATACTAAATAATACAATACATTTTTCTTTTTACAAACATTTTTTTTTTATTTTAAATAATAATTAATAGAATTTAAAATATACAAAAAGTTTAAATTTATTTATTTTTACAAAATTTTCTGTACAAGAGACAAATAGTTTTTATGTACTAAACAATTTGTTAAAAAAATCACTGTTTAAAAGATTGTCTAATCTTCTTCATCAGAGTCAGATACTATCCGAGTTTGTCTTTTTTTCTTGGTATCCATATCTGAGCTATCATCTTCAGATGAATAAATATTGCTTTTATCGACTATAAAATAATAGAACAAAAAATTATTTCTTAATGGATTAGACAATGATAGTTATTCTAGATATTTCTTTATCTTAAATTGTGAATTTTAAGAATTTTTTAGGTTCACTTTTTATTTTTTAATGGAAACATACACATTTAACTATTATAAAAAGCAGAAAGTTATGTAGTTTAGATAATGACTGGTCAATAATATCTTTTGGAAGTTATTATACTAGTAATATACAAGGAGATTTATTTATCATAAACCGCCTTATTAGTCAAAGAAAAATAAAAATAATATTGAACATATTATTTTGGTTTTTTTAGGTACATGCTTTTCTCATTTTTTCAATCAGGAAGTTTTTTATATATGATATAATGGTGTTAACTTTATTTTTTCAAATAGTAATATAATTAATTATTTTTTTTATTTAATAAATAGTGGTCTAGCTAAGAAAACTACTAGTTAATAACTTTTATTTAGTATTTCATACTAACGTATTTCAAATGTTATTAACAATTTAAATTAATAACTGAATGTAACACAAGGGTGTTGTTAATTTTATCACTTGTCATTGGTTTCATCATTTCTCCTGTGCTGGGTATAAATATGTCGATAACATACAAAATACTAAACCAAAAATTATTATCAACCAGTTATTTTCTTAATTAGATCACTATCTATTAAATAAACTGGTAAATAATATATGATCCATTTGAAGAAATATATCTGACACCCATATAAAATATGAATTTAAAAATAATGCACAATTATTAATTGGATAAAAACTCTATCCTGTCTATTACATACATCCAATGATATAACCTGATATTTATAATAGCCCCCCCCTCCAATATGAATAGTTAAAAATCTACAAAATTACATATTTTTCAGATCACACACTGTAAAATTGGTTAAAAGTTGAACAAAATTAAAAAACTTACTTTTTGAAATACTTGTATTCTTTTTATTAAACTTATTTTTGATGGCAGATAGAGATATGGCATTTTCATCATCTGATCCATCCTCTCTTTCTGGTTCTAAGTAAGAAGAACTTAGATTACTAGTAGCGCCTCGTTCTCTGGCTCTTTTAACTTTTGTTTCTTTACGCATTGATTGACGTAACTTCTCTTCTTCTCTCTGAAAAATAGTTAATAATTATAGAATAAAACAATTTCATATCATAAAAAAATTATTTAAAATATTGCCTACTTTGATTTTTTCATATCTATTAGCATCTGGATCAGCTCCAACTTGTGATAGAACTTTTATGCCAGATGATTTTTGTGATCTATCAGCTAATGATAAGGTAATTTTACGATGTGTAAATGATTCAGTTGAATGAGGTCGAAATGATAGTTTGGTTCGAAATACAGCTTGACCCTGTAATCCTGTACCTTGACGAATGAATAAATGATTATGATCTCCCTGTAATACAAAAATTAGACATGAGAAAATAATATAATAATTTTATTAGTAATTTTTGAAAATTAAAATAAGACTTACTACAAGTGGTTGTTTATAAACATCAAATATTTCTGATCCTAAATGCAAAGACATGCTTCCATCAGACCATTTAATTATTCTGGCATTACTTTCTTTTACTAAATTACCATCCTTATCAAATATTTCACGCCATCTAATTGTATTTTCAACTTTTAATTTAACTCTTTAACAAAAAATAAACAAAGTTATGAATATAATTGATTTCAAAAGTTATATTAAAAATTATAATCAACCTAGCACGTCCTTCTTCATCTAATGTTTCTTCTTCGTCAATTTCATCTTCATAAGTTTCTTTGTCGTATGGTCTTGTTTCAACTGATAAAAAATTAGGTAATTTTACAAAATGTAAATCACTTCCTAAATCTACAGATATTTTAGGTATTTCTACAGCTATTCGTCTTTCTGGAATAGGTTCTTCTGCTTCTTTTTCTTTATCATCTTCAGCGTTTTCATTTTCATCATCATCACTACCTTTTTCATCATTATCACTTTTCTCACGGTCTCCATCTTCATCATCACTGGTGGGTTTAGGTGTTTTTGGTTGTTCTTCGTCAGAACTGATATCATCTGCTTCACCAAATAAGTCATTTTCCTTAGGGGCTAATACAAAATAAAAATAATACATCATCAAAAAATATTTTGTCAAAAATAATATATGAAACTCACATTTTTCTGAAGCTTCAGAATCACTTTGTTTTGCTTTGTCTTCTTTATCAGATGAGTCTTCTCCAGAAACACTAGAACTTTTTTTAACAGTTCTGCGTGGTTTTTTACCTATTACGGATCCATCACTATCATCTGAATCTTGTTTAGTTTTAGATACTTCAGGAGATGATGAGTGTGACTTTTTTGATGTATTACTCTTTTGGCTAGTTGAACTTGATTTAGATTTATTGCTTTTAGCAGAGCTAGCTCTACTACGATTAGTTGAACGACTAGCATGGGATGAATCACTTTTACCACTAACTACTGATTGATTAGATGTTACTGAACCTGCAGGAGTTGCTGATCGACCTGATATAGCCGATACTGCTGATGCTACACTAGAAGCTCTACTAGTAGGAGATGGTGAGCGAGAGCCTTCAGGAGATTTAGCAGGGGATGCTGATCCCGAATTACTCCTGGAATGAGATTTTGATCCAGGAGATTGAGGTTCTGAACCTGATGGAGTATGAGCTTGATGAGCAGGTGAAGCAGATCTAGAAGATTGATTACTACTATTAGCTGATGAAGAACTAGTCATAGATTCCGAGTCGCTAGCATCTGGAAAAAAATATAATGAGTAAAACTTTACTTTACTAAAAAATAATACTAAGATTTAACAGTTAGTAGCAAATTAAAAATGTCGACTCTTATCATTATAATTATTATGTCAAAATACATACCATTATCGTGTAAATTACTTGCAACCATTGTTTTAGATTTAATTCACAAAAATATTATTAAATACAAAGACACTGAATATAAATACTAATCATAACTATAAATGATAATTTAAATCTAAAATTATTAATTATAATAATGCATATAAAAATTGTATTAATTTTTTTTTGCTTTTCAAGTAAAAATTAAAATTATTATTCAACAATAATCTTCAGATTTTTGTTTAAAAATTTGTCCATTTATGTAGTACAAACAAAACAGCAAGCGGTATGAAACACATTTGTATTCAGTTATTGTTATCAATTTTTAACAATAATACCGGGATTGATGTACCACTTAAACATAAAATGTATACCAAATACCATGTTTCACTTCTCATGGTTATGGTTGAAACTATATATATATACATATTCGGCAATATATTTGTCATATTCTATTATACGGAAGATTATTTAACGTTTATTAACTTTGTACAATAATATTTGTTAAGATTGGTCCGTGTATTTAAGTTATACATTAATTATCAAGTAAATTTCCACAAAGTAAATCAATCATAAAAGTAAGCGGCACTGACGTTAAACTACGATACTATTATAGATATTCACTTATGTGAATATATAAAAATTTTAAAAGCAACACATACAACGTCCATTATTTTAAGTATGTATGTGTTAAAAAAGGTGCTAAGATGTAGCACTTAAGAATACTTATAAAAAAAAATGGGATAAAAAAGGGTCATACAAAAAAATATTTTTTCTTTATAATTATTTTATATATTTAATAATATAAAATATAAATCTTTGATAAATAATTTCATACCTTATTTAACAACACGAATATTTAAAATAATTTATAGATAAAATCAACAGATTTATTGTTTATTTTTCTTATTAGATCAAATTCTAAGGCTGATATTTAAGTGCTGGCTTATTTACTTTATTTACATTTCATTTAATTTAGTTATTTTTATGATCATAATTTTTCATAGGCTATTACTAAAAATAAAATGTTAGTCATATCAAAAAATCTTCAATATGTATTTTCTTGTTAAATCACTTATGAAAAGTTATATAAAAATTTAATGTTCTTTCAAAATTTAAAAAATTCTCCAATCTGTTAGAAAATATTTATTAATTAATTTATAAAAATATTTGTAGCAATGGAAAAAATTTAATTTAACCAGTTAAAAAGTTTGTTTAAAATCCGACCATTTAAATTTTTTAAACATTTATAGAAACCATAGGCAATTATTAAGAACGTTTTAGATAGCAGAAAATAATAATTCCCCTGAATCCATAAATATGATTTTTGGGATCAACCGGGTATGCTAATGAAAATTGCTTTGTGACTTGGCAAACTATTAATGAGTTATAAAAGTAATGTTTGATTTATAAATGTATGGTTTAAGAATGGAAAAAGACTATTTAATTCTTTGAAATTAAGCTAAATATATTTTTACAGTGATTATTGTACAGGTTTAAAAAATATTAACTAATAACATGAAAAATTTAAACAAACCAAAAAATATACTACAATTTGATTATAGGTTACAATATAGTTCACTTAGAATACATACGGCGTTACGATTATGCAATTATATAACAATAATATCTTTAAAAATCTTGTTTGCCATCTTATGAGTTATTTACTATGATTATATAAAAATACTTGAACAAAGTCCATACTGATAATAAAACATTTTATTTTTAAATAAATAACGTACGAATGTTAAATTTTTTTTCTTCTTGATTATAATTAAATAATCCCTTTTCGAGGATTTTTTTTACATACGATTAAATTACAAATAATTTAATTTACTTCGTGTTTGGGTAAAATATAAGCAACAAAGTTATTTTAATTTTTCTACGTAGTCTCAAATATGCAATGAACAATAATTTTCTTAAAAAATTATACAGCGAAGGTTGCATTGTTTAAAGGGTGTTGTGTCCGATTGGTCGGCAACCGTACGCCTCTCCCAGGGAGTCGGTCCCGCCTCATCCCTATAAGGACCACCGGCGTTTCGCCAACTACTAGAGTGCAAACTTTACGCAAACGCATCCTTGGAAGGACGTTGGACGTTTTTACATTGAACGTTAAACATTTTCTTCAAGGTTTTAAATATTTGTACTCGTTCATAACCAGTAATAACTTGTAAAAATAATTTTTAATATTTAAAGGATAAGTAAATCTTATCTGAAATTTAACTTTGATAATTTAATTATGATCAGTAGTCCGTGTGAACAACAAGTGGACGAAACATTAGACAATTCAAAAGAATTAGTTCTTACATCTCCTGTAAGTACTATTGTTATAATTAATCTGATTTCTTGAACTATAAAATTATAAAATGGGTTTATTTTAACGAATAAACTTCTGATATCTCGATAAAAAAAGAATAATTTCTTGATCTTTTAAATTTTATACTTTTAATATATTAAATTAAAAAAAAAACATACTAGAATTAATTTAATATCAAAAAACCAAGAAGTCCGTGTGTAACTGAACAGACTTATGATCGCTCATATTATATTTCGATGTCAACATTAGTATTTAATTTTTTTCCATTTAAGTCGTACTTACAAATTAATAAAGCGCTCGATTTTGATGCCCGAAAATTCAAATTTCAATTAATACTTATGATGTTTCATTAAGGAGGGTTTTAAATAACTAGATCAGTTACCCTATAATATTGAGTTTAAAAAGACTATACATTATTATCGACACATTTGTGCCCAACAAAAATGTCAAAATATAATTTATTAATTTTTAAAATATTTGTTTAACATGAACAAATTTTTTGTAAAGCATTTTACAAATGCGTAAGACTTAAGGGTATATTTAAAGTTATGATTTGGTCAGAACATTATTACATTCATAAATACCTAAAACCCATTAAAAATGTATTATGTTTAACATTTTTTTAAAATAAGTAATAATAGAAAATTGTAGCGATCAAAAAATATTCGTTTACAAAAACTAAAAAAATGGTCGTCTAACTATTAATTTTATGTCATTAATTATTTTAGTTAAAATTTTATTAAAAAAAAATTCCTACTTTAATTATATGATCTTAATTATATCTTAAATCTCACATTTTCGTAATTTCTATTGTGTGTCGTGTTAATTTTAAATTTCTTAACAAATATTGTTTCATTTTCAATATTTATTAAAATAAAAAATCATTCATTTTTATGGCTTTTGAGGCTTGAATAGTTGGTGAAAATTATTTGAACATTTATTATCTTTACATCAAAATGGTACAATAATTTGTTATAAGTAAAATAATCATCTCAAAAAAAAATAAACATTGAATTTCCGTCAAAGTAACGGAAATTCTATTAACTAGTTCAATAAAGAAAAGTACAATATTTCAGTTCTTTTTGTATGATGTGCCAATTATTATTAGTTAACTTATAAGGTTAGTACATTGGAAAAAGTAATGACTTTTCAACAAACCAAATTAGAAAGCCGTCATCGTATTTATATATTTTGAAAACGGCGGAAGAATTTTGCATTGGGAACTAAAGAAAATGCACTACATGATGCAACTATCGTCTGTAATACAATTTGCCATGGCGGTTTCCCCAGTTGACATTCATTTCCGGAAAAACGTGATTCTGCGGTCTGTAGCTGTATTGCATGTTACACTAATATAAATTCATTTTTGTCTCTCTTAACGAAGTATTACAGTTGAAATGATTTGAATTTGTCACCTTCAAGCATCAATATAATTTTATAACTATAATATTTAGTTAGACATAGTAACCTCGGCCTTACAATTTGGTTTATATACGAATTGCAAAATGAAATATTTTACGTTATTTTGGTTCTCGATTAAATTAAATATCTCAAATGTAACCTTTAACATAAAATTATTATTATTATTCAATTCTAATTTATTTTTGTTTTGATAACTGAACATTTTTATTTACTTTTAGTTTAATAATCGTAGCTGCTCTACATATACGGGAATATTAGAAAATGGTATTGAAATCCACAAAAGAGCTGTTGGGGCTTTTGACATTCCTCAACAAACAGGTGTTATATTTTCATAACGAAAAACTATTTCTGATTCTCTATTATTTATTGGGTATTTTTTTTGCTTAGATAATGTCTATGTGCATTTGACCAGTAAACCAATTAGTCAAGTGTTGGAAAATTGGAACCAGGATGGTAAGTGAACATATCATATAAATTATTTTTTAAGAAAATCTATTAAAGTAGACATTTATAAATAATAAAGTGACATCGACAATAAAAATGATAAATAGTTGGTATTATTTTAAAGTCGATTTATGCTCAACGTATTAAATATATAAATATAATATTAAGAGTTAAATAATCAATAAATTATTGTATATAATTATTTCTGAGTTAGCTTATGATCATTTTAACAAAAATCTGGTATTAAAAATGTTATGTTTAAATTTCTTATTTTTAGCTTCGATGCGAAGCTGAGAAGGTATTGGTTTTACTATGATGTGTTTTTTTTTTTTTTTGTGTCTGTTACCACTTTTTCTCAGCTCTCACCGAACGGATTTCTTTCAACGATACGTCAAAAGATCACAAATCGTATCTAGTCGAAGACATTACCCTTCAAAATTGAAAAAATTTCCCTCGTTCCCCGTAAATGGGGGAAACCTCCAAAAAAATTACAAATTTAAAAATCGCTAATTTTCGAAATTTTTTCAATTTTTTTTACTAAAAACTGCCGTAACTTTTTCAAAAATGAACATATCAATATAATTTTTTTTCATATAGATGCTTGATGTCTTTACCTAAAACGGTGAAAACGGCTACCGAATGCTATTTTTGTGTGAAAATTTTCGATTTTATAATTTACATTTTTTTAATAAACCCTTTTTCATTCGACATACTTTACCTTAATCAGGATATTAATAAGGAACCAGCAGATCAAGTAGCTTTTGGAATAAAACACCAATTTTTTTAAAATTAAACACTATCTAAAGATTTGCATCGAAGCGTTTATTTTTGATAGTGATTTTAATCACTGTCAGATATCATTTACTTGATCCAACTATGCCACGTCACCACTGTGCCGCGACCCCCCTGTGCTGGGTTTGGTTTTTTATTTAAAATGTGTTAACGGATTTTACGTGGACGATGAAGTAACAATGAATTTTTCTTTAGATTTTTCCTAAATTTTTAAAGGTATTATTATTTATGTTATTTTATGATTAAATGAATGAACGTGATTTTTTTTGAATAATTTCCCAAAGAAAAGTGCATGTTTCAGAGGAAGCATCCACCGCGATGACATCTTGATGGGTGTCAGTAAAGTATAGTTTTAGCAGGGGGTAAAACGTTTATTTTTAGTGGTTATTATTTTATATACACACTGCAGTTTTTCGATTATAAAACATCTTTGAACGAAAAATAATGTACAAACATGACACATGACACACATGATGTTAAATTACCAATACATTTTAACAAAGTCTATGAAATAATCTGTACGGTTCAGCGATAGAAACAGATAAACGTATATTAAATAAGTATTTTGTTAGTGTACGTGCATTTCTTTTTACTGTCATTTTCTTTGAGATGCGAGTTACTTTATAAAACTTTAATCTCGTTTTTCAACAAAAAAACATCAACTTCAATTTATAACTATCAGTAAAATTGATTTCTGAGATCATATTGTGATATATGTGTAGTGAAATAAGCAAAACACTCTTAAACACGGTTATGAATGATTTCTTTTTTTTGTATATTTACTGTTTTAAAAATATATGAACGCTTATTATCCAACAAAAAAATGAATGACAGTGTTAATGGCCTATTATATTTTGTGGAAATGGTTGCTAATGAAGGGTTACAGCCCTCTTCTTCAACGTTAAATGTTCACCAAATCGAAATAATACCCTTCAAAGTCATTGATAAGTTTATGGGTTGGAAAACTAAAGACAGCTGATCTTCACAATAGATTAAAAATGGTTAATAAATAGTATATGACGTAAATATTGTGTAATTTTAATGTTTAATAATAGTTTTTATGATTACATTTGTAATCTATAAAACTCGCAAAAAATAAAAATTATATTAAAAATAAAGTTATATATGTATACAATAAATTGTAAGAAAAAAATTATTTGTTTAGATCGTAATATATATCAACAAAATTCAATGAAACCAGAAATGAGATCGCCTGATTGCTGCAGTAGGTCTAATAGATACTTTACTGACCATTATTATCCACATTCGCACACTAATTTCAGGTATTGAAATTATTAAATAATTATATAAAAATAAGACTGATTTACTTTATTTCATTAATTGATTATGCGATACGATATTGGTTAAGTAGAACATAAATATTTAGTTTTATTATTCCTTCACACATAAAAAATAGGTCTACTTAATAATTAAGTAGACCTATTTGTTTAATATAATTATTATATTAAACAAATTATATTATTATATCCACAGTATCAACAAATATTTTGTTGGGACATTTGTAATTTCCTCTACCCTCAGAAAAAAAATTATTATAAAATATACGTACAATAGTTCTGTAATTTCAGAGCTAAGCCTCTCCAGTCCCTCTAATTTGTGCGTATACTAATAAATATCAATGTCGCCAAGGCAAAATTTGATTTTTCGAAATTATTCAGAAGAAAAAATAGAAACACAATTTTTGTATAAAAATGGGAGTATGTGTTTGCATCTACAAAAACTTACTCCTTTTGTTGTTCTTTTTGCGAAGCTAAGAAGATATTAATTTTACCATGATGTGTTTATATTTAGGTCTATCTATTTTTTTGTATTTGTTGTCATTTTTTCTCAGTTCTCGCTGAACCGATTTAACTGAAAAATACATCATAAATCACAAATTTCACCTAGTGAATAGGTTAAATAATAAAAAAAAAATTTCCTCGTAAAATGGAGGAATTCCCACCTAAATAAAAAAATTTAATCGGTAAATTTTGATAATTTAAAAACTACTATAACTTTTTATTAAGTAGATGAATCATAATAATTTTATATGGGGGATTCAATATAACTAAATTTACACAAAAATTAACTTTTTTAATTTAACTTTTAAAAATGTTTCGAAAATCTTGACATCTTTAAAAAAAATTGATCTCTGAACTAATCTATGTATAAAGACGACTACTGTATTAAAAAACATGTTATTTTTGTATTAAATTTTTAATTTCATATTTTATTTTTTTTAATTTATAGATTGATACAATTTTATAAATGTCCCTTTTATTTGACATACTTTTTTAACTTCGATGTGAAAATGAGAATTATTGTATTGTTATAGATTGTATTGTTGTATAGAGGTATTGTTTTTGTGATAATATCTTTCTTTTTTATGCCTGTCCATAAAAATGTTTTGCTCTTACTAGATTTTAACAATCAATCCGTCAAAAAAATCAGTTTTTAATCTTATTTAATTTATAGACGACTTTACCTGCATACTTGGGAAATTTAAAATAGCAAATCTTATATGAAATTTAACCTTTTCAACTTAACTTTGGAAAATGTTTCGGAAATATTCCAAACCATAAGCATATGTTAAAATGAAACTGAAGTTACATACTATAAGTTAAAAAAAATGTTTTACTACGACTGGTGTTTTTATTTGTAAACAACCTCCAAAATTTAAAAAAATATGTTATTTTTGTTTAAAAAAATCAGTTTTTCGTGTTATTATAATTTTCACTCCAATTCTTTCAATTATTTATGTCTATATTTCAGGTCAAACAGTATAGTCATATAAGAAGGGGAGTAAGTACCCCTATTCAATCCTACCCTTTTACAAAAAAAAATGTAAATAAGAATTAAGTGATAGTTATAAATATCTCAGGGAGACTTTTTGCAGCTTTTAATGTCAATTCAATAAATATATTAAAAGGAAGGAGCTACCTTTTCAAAAAAATGCTCTAATTACTAATGATATATGATAAATTACAATTTAAATTTCGTAACTAAAATAGTAATTAACTAACTAAGGTCAGAATAATCTAATTAAGAAGGTTAATTTTTTTTTGATAAATCTGTACTTGAAATTTTGAAAAAATACACGTTTGTCATAGGGGTAACAAAATATAAAATTACTTTATAACCTTTAATCATTTCTCCGTAAAAATTACAATACTAAATTATTAAATACAAATTTTATACTAAATTCATTTCTGTAATAAGTATTTATTCCTATATTATACATATAAATCAAATAATTTGTAATAAGGATATAAATAGGATACAGAAGTTCATTTTGGAATAATCTAACAATTCATTCTAAAAATTAAACACTATCTACAGATTTGCATCAAAGCGTTTATATCACTGTCATATATCATTTATACTTATCCCAAATATGTCCACACTGGGCTGGGTTATTTATTATTCTATTGTATCAAGAAAATAATTATATTTTTTATTCCAAAAACGCTAAATTGTAAGTATATGTATAACAAAAAATAAAAATCGAAAACTGTCGAGATACATATATTTTTGATGGTGACAACTATGTAATTTTTATCATTTTATTTTTACTTACTATTCATGTAAGTTTGGAATTTATATAATTTTCTAATAGAAAGTATATAACATGATGTTTAAAATAATTAAATCCACAAAAAGCTTTACTCCTGTGAGTATATGTTTCAATTTTTAATATAAAGGGTTAAACGGTACCTCATCATAAGCTACTTGGACCCTTTCCACCCTTCAATTATTAACCTGATAATTATTTACTGGCCTCTCGTTTGTTGGCTTTACAAAAGATTATTTAAAACCCACTCCGATTCTCCTTGCTCACCGCTAAAATAATCCTTGCTTCGCATTCTCGCGCCCTATCTGTTTTGATAACTCATTAGAATAACGACCGCTAAGTAACGACGAGTCCACTCGATAATAGCAACACTATATAATAATAATGAATTTTTATATTTTTATTTTAGAAGTCTAACTACCCGAAATCTATACTACGATTACTACGATCCAACCGTGGTAACACATAAAAAAGAACCGGAATCTAAGTATTATGGTGATACTAACGGTGGCAGGTACACAACACAAGGTGAGTATATTTTTTTCTTGCGTTCCATCTAAGAAGCTTATCATTATAAAATAATTTTTATTAGTTATAAAAAAGCTTAGGATATTTTATGTACAAAATGAACTTCTGTTGGCTGACAATAATAAAATAATTCAATTTTGGAACAACTGCGCCAAAAATTGCTATTGATTACGCTGGTTTATTTTTCGGTTTTTACTTTTGAATATTAATTATTTACAGCATCTAAAGTATGTTTTTATTGCGAATAACAACTGCCTACTAAATATTCCCGTCACACTATGGTAGCAGAATCTTCTCATCGATACACTCTTTTTATTGTAACAATAAGGAAAAATCTAAAAACTAATTGAATATAAATATAAGATGTGCCCGCTAGCGGTTATGGGTTTTATCAGATGTAAATCCACGTGGTACTGGCGGTAACAGCGAAAAAAAACATTCCTAACACGTACACCGGTACTGATTTGCTATCAATATTCAACGAAAACAAGAGGTGATATTTTCACCTACAATAATTTGTTTCCATTTTTTTTCGACACGAAAAAAAATAACACGAAAATTGTTTTTTTTTAAGTAATACATACTACTAACAGAAGCACGAGTTACTTGGAACTTTAATATTTTATTAACGAAGAACCCCTAAAGTAAACACACCGCTCCATCATGGGTTTGTTCTAAGTTTAATTAGAAGATGATAATATTAATAGTAACCTGCCAATATCATACTGGTCATATTGACATAGTGCCGCGTATAAGTTATATGTATGCCCCGTCGACAGAAACAACAAGACTTTACTTACTAGTTATTATCTACTCTCCCCGTTTGTAAAAATGGGTCTCATATTTCTTTATCTAAGACTACATGTCACCAATTCACGATCCTAACACTCGGTAAATATTTAACTCCCACGACTATTTGAAAAAAAAATTATTGTGTAATAAAAATGTTTAACTTACTTGAAAGTTTCAGATTCCGAGAAAAACTTGCATTTTAGTAATGAATTGTTACGAGTATTTTCTTAATAACCAATAAAACTAAGTTATCCGAAATTTGACGCCAAATTCAAACAATTTTATAATAAAAATATATAACATTTAACATTTAGGGAAACTTTAAAAATTGCATAAAATTAACACACAACACTGACCCACTAACTTTAAAAGTAATATTATTAATACTTTATAACTGTCAATTTCCGGGTTAGTTTAACCGTCGACGTGAATACACACGCAAATAATAGAATTAAAAAACATGTTACACAAGTCTTGAGAACGTTATCAAACAATTGCATTTTAAATAGACAATCGTAACTCATACACAAAAATATTAAAATAATAATAAACATAATTTTAACAACACCCGTATGAATATAAAAATTAACGCTTAAATATACTCTCGACGGATAAGTTCGTTCTCAAAATGTCAATCTTTCTTTCGTGGTTTTTTCCCTTTATATAATATCTGATCTCTACTCATATTGTTAGCATTATTTGCTAATCCTGCCATTTTTACAATTTGATAATTTCTTTTCTATGTACGTTGGTTTTAAGAAACATAATTATATTACTTTACAATTTTATGGTTTTACTACACAAATATGATTACAATAAATAGGTGGGCCTCCATAATGTTTGCTCAGTGTACACAAGAACTTGTTGGCACATTTATGAAGCTGCGGTCACAGACGTCATACCCATTGTGATCAAGTGCATAATTTATCTGACATTTCGTTTATGGCCTGACTTCTGTTCAACAACGATTAGTGCATCAAACAGTAGCGCGTGTCCAATCGCATTATTCTTAAACCACTGTCCATAAGTCAAAAGGAAACAATGGTAGTAATGTCCTTCAACCATAAACACATGTACACATGACCTCAGCTAATCGTCACCCTTTACCGATTCTCGACCCTTCCCGTTTATGTATTATTTACAATGTAATATTAATGACGGCCTTGTCGGTGATACATGAATTATAGCCCTTCGTTATGGATCCATTATCGGTGGGGGATTTTTTTCTTAGTAGAAATCGTCGGGATAAACGATCGAGTTTTAAATAATGTAACGGATAGCAGAGCCTTTTAGTAACTTTGCAAAGGGATGATAGCTGAAGAACGAGTATAGTTATTCCCGGTGGGAATTAAAAACAACATAAAAAGAATCAAATCTCGTCGAAATCACTAATAGCCTATAAAATAAATCAGTAACAGATTTTCTTGCGATTTTATAATATTTCAACAAACAAATGTCATGTTATATTAAAATTCATTTATAGTATCGATGTACATATGATAAAGAAATATATTTAAAATTGTATGCCTGACAAATTACAGCGTGAATTGATGATAACGTATTCTTAGGTTTGATCAATTATTTTATTGTGAATCTACTATTAGGATGGAACTTTAGTAAATATCGACAACATTTTAGACAATACTTTGTACTGTTGTTTAAATATTTTTAGGCTTATCAAGATTTATACAAAATTTAGTGAATTTTGTGTAAGGTACTAAAAGTAGGACTAAATTTATGTGATCGTTTTAGAACTGAATCGAATTAAAACATGTTACACGTTGAACGATTAAATGCTGTTCAATAATTTATGTAACAAAACTTATGTATCCTCCGACTTTGTTGAATTCGAAAATTAATTTTGAAAACCGCAAGTTTACGTGGGGGTATATAAATAATGCACAGTGACGAGAAAGATTAAATAAGTGGTTAACTTATTTTTTTTAGAATTTTTAAGAAAAATGTAATGCTGTTTACAGGAATAATAATTATTATTAATAAGGAACTACGCCGCTATTTTGAAAACAATAGATACTAATAGCATGTATAAAGTAAAAAACTAATTTTACAACTTTAAAAAAAGGTTCGTTGTAACCTTATGAACTAAAATTTGAATAATGAATATTCAAGTTAATGGAAGAAGATTAAATGTGGAAAAAACATGAAATAAAAAATTACTAACAATATTCCTAAAGATTGAACATGTTAAGATGAAAGTAGAAACAAAAACAATATTCATTGTTTCCACGATTAATATTTTTAGTTTGATGATAATATTAATGAAACAAGAGAAAGCTTGCACATGTCGTGTATGCCAATCAACTTAACAGTGAGGGTGGTCGCCGACGCATTAAGATTGATCGTGTTTTCATAATTAAACGGAAAATAATCGTCCGGGGATTAAAGCTCAAGAAAAACAACCGAGCGGACTCGTTAATATTAATTAAACGTAATTTACACGGAGAAAAATGTTTGATACACAATCCGGATTAAACTATTAAGTTTTTTGTAAGTTTACCTTTATTTTTCAGTACATCCGAAATATTTAACTAAGATGACACGCAAAGACACATTTAGTCGCCGAGTAAAGACATCTACGACTTTCCATGTATTTTGCATGGGATTGTAGATTTTAGTCATTACTGACATTATTTAGTCATGACAAAAAAACCTTTTTTTGAGGGGTAAGGTAGAAGACAAGGAAATGGGGTATTAAGCTTCTGCAAGTTTTTTCGCTATTGTATGTAATTGAGTAAGGTAAGGTGGAATATGTGTGAGCGCTTTTTTTTTACTTGAATAATCATAAAATTAATGAATGTTATTTAATTGTTAATATGTTGAAATATAAGTTAAAGTAAATATTAGCCATTGAATTAATATTAATAATCAATATTTGATTATGTACTAAATGGAATCAAATTCCTACAAGCGAGTAATAATAGACTATTTTATGCGATATTACTTTAACTTTGTATTTTAAATGCTACAAGTTTATACATTTTAGCAGTTAAAAAAAACATAGCGCTTTGATCAAATAACTACTAACGAATAGTTGTAAATATTATTACATTTAAATATCCAACAGATAAACTTACCCCACCTCACCTTAAAATTACTCCCACGCCAACAACTAATACGCAAAAATATTACATATAATAATTAAATAAAAATAATAATTATTATTGTCTATTTTTTTACAAATGTTTTTATGTTTGTAACTTTTGTTTATGATTAACCTAATTAACCTCGTGTATTTAAAATAGGCATACAAGAATCAGTAGCTATCGAAAATGTAAGTACCTATTCAGGAAACACGGTACCCCAACCTCATCGGCGAGGTGCTCTACAACTTTGGCAGTTCCTTGTTACCTTACTAGACGATCCAAACAACTCGTCATGCATTGTGTGGACAGGTAGAGGTATGGAGTTTAAATTGGTGGAGCCGGAAGAGGTGAGGTGTATAATGCATGTTTATCATAGGGGTACTGTTAGTTGATTACACATTTTTAATAAACAAAATTATGAAAATCCATTGAACAGGTGGCCAGAAGATGGGGACTGCAGAAGAATAGACCTGCTATGAATTATGATAAATTGAGCAGATCACTTAGGTATTACTACGAAAAAGGAATTATGCAAAAAGTTGCTGGTGAGGACAATAGATTTTATTAAGTACCATAAATATATTAATTTAAATGGATTATGATGTACCTTTATAATACTCGTACATTATAACTGTAAAATAATTTTTGACTCATCGCCAGTCCTTCTTCTCTATACGTCTGTATCAGCGTTACTAAAACTTAAAGAGAGCAACAAATTTTTGTGGTTAATCATATTACTAGCATCATTTTAAGACAGAACAATTTCTTGTACGTTTAAATGGTGTAATCTCAAAAATTTATATCTTCATCACATAATTATATTTTTAAATAGGGGAATATGACACCCATATCTCCCCCATACTTATGGTAGTAATCTCTACAGAAAATCACAAATTTGAAATCAAAGTTGTAAAAAGAACTTTGAAAAACTAAAAGGTTTTTTCAAATGAAGCAGTTATTGAAAATAATGTTGAACTGTAGTTTTCTAATATAACTAAACTGCCTACGGCAATGTCCGCCGCGTGTCTATATAATCAATTTGCTTATAATTCGTGTTATATAAATTTTGTTATTATGTGTTTTGGTAAACAATATGGAAGGGCGTTCGGGTACCGTTTTTGTATGCTCATACGAGCCAAGTCGGGTTAAGAGGGAGACAAAAATATAGTCTGTGAATATGTGTTTGCTAAAGTATTAGTGTGTTTTGTCTGAATTGTTTGCTAGGCGAACGTTACGTTTACAAATTTGTTTGCGATCCTGAGGCGCTGTTCAACATGGCGGCCACATACGATTACGCCGTCTCCGGTACGTCCGGCCCACCGGCCGTCGTCTCGACGACGGCGCATCACCAACATCATCATCAAAACCTGGCCACCAGGTATGCAGCCGCCGCAGCTACAGCAGCAGCCGCCGCTGCTGCTGCTGCAGCAGCTGCCAACATGCATCATCATCACCATCACCATCATCATCAACCTACTACCGCGTACGATTGTGCGACTACTGCAGCTACAACTGATGGGTATTACGATAGTAGTAATTGCAAAGTAACATCAGCTACCATCGTTGCCTCATCATCATCACCTTCCGCAGAAGATGGCAAATCGATGATTGGCCACCGACGACATAAAGACACCGTGATAGACTCGTCAACTGGAACAACAGACAATTGTAATGGACATGGATTTTGGCCAGCCGGCGTTTTTGTCCGATAAGCTTTTGCCAATATTTCTTCAAAATATGAACTTCAAGGAAATGATTTAAATAAAAATTGTAATCAGGTTGTTGGATGAATTTTCAAGCAAAATTAGATGGATATCAAAAAGGAAATCGGCCTGAAAAGTATAAGGCTCTTTCAAAACAAAAAATTGTTCAGTGTATTTTTATTCTGGACAGTTACACTAGTCATTTATTTTTTGTTCTTAAATAGAAAACTTTAACTGTAATTTTGTTAGATTAATTTAATTGTTTATTATTATTATTATTATTATTCTGATATATTCTAAGTAGTAAAATTTTATAATTTTTTTAATGGACTTGTCAGTACTTTATTTATAATTGTCAGGCTTTGATACAAAAGGGTATAAGAGTAATTACCCCCCAAAATTAGAATTATTTTCTTAAAAAGGTCCTATTTTTGATAAATTATTCTTACTAACAGAAATAGTGAAACGGCCTTCAAAAATTTCTTCTGAATCCGCGCCTGATAATTGTTTATAAATAGTTTTCCCTTTAAATCAAGTTTTCATTTATATTATTATTTATATAAGTTTTCAATTATAACATTTTTTTTTTTAATTATTCGGTTTAAATGAGCAACATAGACTCAATAAAAGGACTCTCTGTTTAAGCAATATATTACTTATTTTCAAACTTATGTAAATATTCTGTCTTAGCAAGCACGATATATTTAAATTTAAATAACCGTAGTATATCATTTATAAAATGAAATATATTAAAAGTTAAAGTAAATCAATAAAATTTGTTATAAAAAAAAAAAATCATGTGCCAATATTAAACTTATAGGCTAAATAAATATTAATATATATATTTTATTATTAAGGAAATAAAAGAATTGTATATAAAAACGTACAAATAATTTATAATTTGTACAAGTGCAATAAAATCGACCTAGTAGTAATCTTTAAATTTTAACTTCCTTTAATTTTCCATATCACGAATTTCAATACTCATATTATCATTTTATATACTAATGCTAGTAAATAATAGTCTTCATACATCAAAGAATATTTTTCATTTCACCTATATATTTTATGAAAATTATATATTGTTAATGTATTATTGTATTTACATATCATATAAATACCATAGGTAAAAAAGTTTTTTCTGATAACATAAGTCACTTTATTTATGAAAATGTACAATGTGTTTTGTTCAACATGATTAAAAACTATTTATAAAAAAAATTAAATACGAACTCTACTAAGTATTTTTAGATAATAGATAAATCAAAATCATTTCAACATTTCATAAAGCATGCTAAAACTTAAAGCTTAAAAAAGTAATACATCAAAAAACGATTCAGAATCACAATACATAATAATTATTGTCATCTTAAATTACTCAGATATCAATAATTATATAATTTTATTGATAGGCAAGATATAGATATAAGGCACAACATTTCAAATACAAAAACATTTAATAAATGTTTACAAGTAAGAATATTATTATTTGATCTTGAAGGCATGAACAATTGATCATTAATTTTCACACTCGGATATATTTTAAATTCCTTAAAAATTTACAGTGTATTAGATATTTAGACTTCATTTAGCAATATTTGTATTTGGCCCAAAAATTGTACTAATTTTATTAATTATATAATATATAAATTAATTGCACCAATAAAATTATTCATTAAATATTTGAACAATTTTAACAGGTAAAAAATATTATATCTAAATATTATAAAATTTTATTATCTATACAATTTATGAAGATAAATATTTTAGTTCTAACAACAATAACTAATAATTACTGTCAGTCCAACACAATCAAAAACAATTTATGGCTACATTATGCCTAATTTAAAAAAAATAAATAAGTATAAAACTGAATTTGACGAGATACTAATAAAAGAAGGCTATAACATTTTGAAGCCGAATCAAGTTAAAACCTGACCGGATACTGTCGTTGTCACCGGAGAGCATCAACATTATAATGACTACCACCATTAGATAATCTATGATCCCCCGATGACGGTTTTTTGTATAATTCAAATGCACTACCCCGTTGATCTCTATGCTGAGTTAAGTCAAGTGTGTTAGGGTCCCTATTGTGTTTGTAATACATAGAATGATTCCTTTCCATTTGCTGTGAAGAATGCTGACCATTACTACGCCGTTCATATCCTCTATCTAAACTACTACCATGACCAGAATCAGCTGTGTTTACATCAGTTGATTCCGAAGAATATTTACTTGGAGATGATGGCATCTAAAATAAAGGTTTGAGTAATGTTTATAAATTTAAATTATTTATATATAAATATTATAATAAATGTATAAATATAATAATTAAAAATTTTTTACTCACCCCATTAGATAGGTGTGAAGAGTATGTGCTATCAGCCACACTAAATGATTTTGAATGCTGGAAGCCATTTGTTGGTGGTAGTGGTGGTTGATAGTATTGTTGTTGTTGTTGAATAGGTGGTCGATAATTTTTAGGTTTAGGAGGTGGTACAGGTTTGTAAGATTGTTGATGAGGAGATTTTGGTAGAGGTAGAGGTTTACTAGTGGCATATTCAATGATACCTCCAGATGTACCGCCAGGAGGTCTACAAATAATAATAATGTCTAAGTCAATAACTAAGGTAGGTTATAATAAGTTAATACACAACAATATTAAAGGGTCTAACTAAGTTAACTACTCTAAACAAATTGCAATAGTAGCTATGTATTTTATACTAAATATTGCTTAGAAAAAAGAGCGAGATCATTTAGTGGATCTATGATATTTAAACTCCTATAAAAATAGAATGAACTCAAGTTTGTAACGTTCCTATAACAGTAAATGAATAAATTCAGTTTTTTTATTATTTTAATTAATTTGCTAACCTGTACTTAGGATAATCTGATATTTTAGTATCAACGGGTTGTTGAGTAGACCTTGTAAATCTATATGGATCATGATGACCTCTGCCCAATGTGTTATTACTGCCTGGTTTTAGATCATCTTGAGAATTTGAAACTATATTAGAAGTTAGGTTATTATTACCATTACTAAACCCATTCATTCGAACACCATAACTATCATAAGATGATACACTATCATAACTGTTATGCATATCATAAAGCTGAAAGAATATATCATAGTTTAGGATAATATTATTAATTTAGAAAATTTATTTAAAAAAAGAACATACTTGTTTGCTAGTGCTAGTATGAGTCCTTTGATGATGTGGTGTAGCATTTATATAATTAGGAATATCATCATTAGGACTGAAAAGTCTATCAGTAGCTGATCTTTGACCATTAACACGATTAAACTGCATAGGTTTATTGTTTCTATCGACCCTAGGGGGCAAATCTGGTGCATTATTACCATTTACCATTAATGTCGTGTGGGTAGGAGGTCCAGCCATACGTAATGCTTGAGGTGGTTCATAACTTGCCTATAAAAGTAAGTTTTATTTTAAGAAATTATTGAAGTAAAACTTCTTTCAGAGAGTCCAAAAAAAAAAGGTTATCGGCTGTTATTTTTGACCGTCACAAACGGATTCTATTGTTTTATTAGGTATATAGTCAAAATTCTATTGTTCCTTGAATGTATGCGTTAATCAAAATTCTATAGTTCAATTAGGCATACAATCAAAATTGTATTGTTCAATAAAAGTATAAATTTAATAAACGTGTACATTTGATAAACATTAGTGTTCGATAAACGTTTATGTTCCATAATTGTTTGCAATTTACAAAAATATAAATAAATATTTTGAATATTAAATTCATACAATTAGATTCTTAATGTTAAAATATTTATTTTAATTAATGTATTACTTTTCAATAACAATTTATTACTAATATATATAAATTGATAATTTTTTCATTTAATTCACTCGATGTGAATTTAAAAAAATTGACTGCATTTTTTTAAAATAATTTAATTACACAAATTTTAAAATAAAAATTCAAAATTGCATACAGGTTAAATTTAATTAACTAAAGCAATTTAAAAAACAATACTTTAATTTTCGAAAATAAAATTCTACATATATTTTATATTATGATTTAACTAAATCTATTTATTTTTATAATTATATTATTTAAATGAAAATTATAAAATATAATTTACTTCTTAAATTATCAATAAAAATAAATATAGATACTATTTATAATTTATATTAATCATTTATTTTTATTAATAATAAAATAAGTAAATTGTTAATAATGAATAAATATAATTTATTATACTATGACATATATAAATAATGAAATTTATAGGTATTATAATTATTTATTTAAATGAAGAAAAAAAAAAATTAATTTTACATCCCCTAATTTTCCAAACTTAACATGTTATAGAAGACTCTCTTTTACATGTTAGAGAGTCAAAGATGGTTTTTGGTTAGGCAAATGATGGACAGAACAGATAATATGAGTCAAAAAGTATGTTTCAATACAGTAGGCCAAGAAGACCCCTTACATTTATTTATATATATAATAAGAAGTTTCACTTCATCCACGTGTATTTGTAACACATACTGTTTTTGTTTATTTTATGAATGACAATAAAAATAATTTTATAAATCATTTATTATTTAATTATTATATTAAAGATAAAAACAACGGATCTAGACAGGCTTGTTATAGTGTCTGATCAATGGTGTCTATCATTATTAAAAAAAAATTTAATTTAAAACATAATTAATAAAGTTGATATCATATTTTAATAGTTATATAATATTATTACCTAAAAAAATAAAAATGAATTCATTAGATGCTTACTTGTTTAAATACTGAAGGTGAATATGGAGGAGGTGGGTTGTAATTAGGTATAGCAGAATCATCTTGAGTAGTAATACTTGGATCACTTGAACTCTTTACAAGTCTTGAACCTATTGCTGATGGACTCGATGCTGAATTAGATGTTGGAGAAGCAAATGTTGTATTGCTAGTTTCCATATCACTTTCAGGAGATGAAGCATATGACAGCCGTAAGGAGGTCATTGGGAATAACAGATCATCAGACAAATTTTCTTCAGGCTAAACATATAATTCATGCCACAAAACACATAACAAAATGTTAGTAATTCACAATACAAAACAAAAAGAAAATTAAAAACACAATAGTTACAAATAGTTTGTTATCATAAGCATAAACCATAAATAATAACATCAGTATACAATACAAGGATGCACATAGAGACTAATTAAAAATAATAAGCAGATTTAAATTTATTAATTTGATGTGAATACTTGATCATATATACAATTAACTTTTAATAATAAAACTGACACATGTTTAATAATTATTTGATAAATAAACTGTATAAACTATTTGGATAAAAAAAATGGGTTGTTAAATTAATATCAAATTCAAAATATTTATATTTATATTTTAAACAATTTTGCTGGTCATGCTAAGTATTTATATTGATATAAAAAGATAGAACAAATAAATAAAACACTAGTTAGTAATACTAGATATAACCAAAGAAGTCATTAGATTTCCTAGCATAGTCCATGTTATTAGAAATAATATAAGGATTACATAATGGATAAGACATAGGAAGTAAATAAAGATCTGATAAAAAATCTACAGTCTGTAAACATTTAAAAATATAAATATTTTTATTATGTTTCTATTTATTGTTAATGAATTTACCTTTGTTTCGCTAACCCATGTAGGCGAACTTTGATGTTTATCAATCAGTTCTCTGAGTTTACGGTACCAAGCATCACCTCCATTCAAAGTTAGTGTAGAAGTAAATACATGTGACCAAGCTTTCTCTAACTTCTGACACTGTTCTAATAACTTTTTACTACTCTTATGAGCAGTTCTGAAAATAAACAGTATTATGTGAAAAATGTACAAAAAATTATTAGCATTAATAATATTTACTTAGGTAAACCAGCACGAAGTTCTTTCACTATTTGTTTATTTTCTGCACGTAACAATATAACAATAGGGTAAAATTGTGCATAGTTTAAACGATCAACAGCATTAGGTGTAACATCTAATAAGGCATGTTTTCCTCTATCCATTATATCACGTATAGCACTTAACCTTATTATTCCACTCATTTTTTTTGCACCATCGGTGTTGTTGTTTTCTAGTTCTAAATGATAAAAGAACAAATGTTTATAATCTAAAATTAATTATATGCAACTATGATGGCACTAACGAGGTGATAAGAATTTGTCAGGGAAATCTTTGGATAATTTTTCTCTTGCAATATCTGATATTGGTCCAAACAAAACCACTGGTCGTACAAATCCAGTATGATTTAATACTACCTTTTCATAAGCAGGAAATTTGCTTATACTATCACCAAATACTACATCATCCCAGTTTTCCTATAAACAAATTTATTTGTATTTAGTAATTTAAAAAAAAAGTTAATGCCTTTAATAAACTTCCTCAAACTCCCATTAATTTATTCATTTTTCTTACTTTGCTTAATGATTTTGATCTTCGATGGTTATGTTTTCGGCGTCTGAAGAAACCACCTTTATTTTCTGAAGCATTCATTTCTTTTTTAGTAGCATTAAACTGTGCTGTAGCCAATTCTTCTGCTCTTGCTTTGTTTGGAATAATTCCTTTTTGAACTTCTTGATTGTTTCTTCCAATACGAAATACTTGCCAGGAACCAACTACACCATTATGTAAGGTATCCATTACATGAAAAACATCACCTTTGCAAAAGCTCATTTCCCCTTTGTTTGGTTGTTCATAATCAAAATGTGTTCTACAAGTACAAAAGTATTTACATTTTTGAAATTAATAAATAAATTATAAACAAAATTACTTTATGTGGAAAGAATCACCACGTTGATTGTTCATTATTTGTTCATATTGATCAAGTCTATGCTGTACAATTAAATGGATTTGGTCTTGTAGGCTAAGCAAGAATAAAACAGCTTCTTCACGAGTTACTCCTTTCATGTCCATGTCATTCACTTTTAATATTTTATCGCCCGGTTGAAGACCTTGAGCAAATGCAGGGCTACCTGGCTGTACTGCAGTTACAAAAATACCAACTTCATTTCCACCAGTCAACCGAATGCCAACTGATCCTTCTTTTTGGAATGTAATAAATCTGGGATCAGGACTAGAATGAAGAACAAAAAATTATATAACTTAAGTTATGAGATATATCATGGATAACCCTTTACAATATCAACACTTACTTTATATGCTTAGACCTATGGGGTAATGTTTCATCATAAAATTGCCGAGTTGTACTGTAGTAGTCTGTAAAAAAATTATAGTTAATTTTTATTAATATACATGTATCAATAATATATAATAAATTAATACATATTTTTACAATTTTGTTTACTATTATTATTCTAATTTTATTAAAATTAACACACATGAATAATTAAAAAATAACTTGATAAATTTTTTTTTTAATTTTTTTTTTCATGTGTTTCTATCTAGTAATAATCTCAAAAAAAAAAAAACGGTAGCACAGTGGGGTCGCGGCATAGTGGAGATATTGCATAGTTGGGTTCAGTATAGATTTAATCTGACAGTGATTAAAATCACTATCATAAGAAACGCTTCGATGCAAATCTGTAGATAGTGTTTAATTTAAAAAAATTGATGGATAATTGCAAAAGCAACATCAACTTCTATTAAAATAAAATACAAAACCCATAATTTTCATACAAAAATAGCATATTTTTGAATATGGTAGCCATTTGCGTATAGAAGATAGGTCGTCGGGACAAATTTTTTTTTTTCATTTTGTAGTACATAAAATAAGCTTTAATTTTATATATGTTTAAAGGACGCAGTATTTCCGGAACATTATCAAAAATCAAGTTGAAAAAGTTATTTTTTGTAAAAAAATTACTATTTTAAATTCCCTCAGTGAGCAGAATAAGTGTTAGATTTTCAAAAAAAATTATATCAAATGAAAGGGAAATATCTAAGGTTTCAATACAAAAAAATATTATTTTTATTTGTTCATTTTTGAAAAAGTTATGGCAGTTTTAAGTACAAAAAACATCCCGATAAAAGGTCATTTTTATCGCAAACATTACATTTTTTTTTAAATTTTCGACAGCCATTTGCACATAGAAGATAAGATGTCGGGACAAATTTTTTTTTTCATTTGATACTACATAAAATAACCTTTAATTTGATATATGTTTAAAGAACGCAGTATTTCCGGAACATTTTCAAAAGTTCAGTTGAAAAAGATCTATGTTTTTTACAATATTTTAAGTTTTGAACGCCCCCTATATAAGGGGAAATTGTCCAATTTTAATAAAAAGTATGTCAAATGAAAGATGTACTTATAATGTATTTAGAAAAAAAAAATTTGTGCTGATATATACATTTTTCAAAAAGTTATAGCATTTTTAAGTTGAAAATTTAAAATCGAAAATCGAAAATTTTAACACAAAAATAGTGTTTTTTTAACTACGGCAGCCGTTTAAATGTAGAAGAAAAAGTGTCGGGACAAATTTTTTTTTTTCATTTTGTAGTACATAAAATAAGCTTTAATTTGATATATGTTTAAAGGACGCAGTATTTCCGGAACATTTTCAAAAATTAAGTTGAAAAAGTTATTTTTTGTAAAAAAGTTACTATTTTAAATCCTCCCAGTGAGCAGAATAAGTGTTAGATTTTCAAAAAAAATTATATCAAATGAAAGGGAAATATCTAAGGTTTCAATACAAAAAAATATTATTTTTATTTGTTCATTTTTGAAAAAGTTATGGCAGTTTTAAGTACAAAAAACATCCCGATAAAATGTAATTTTTATCGCAAACATTACATTTTTTTTTAAATTTTCGACAGCCATTTGCACATAGAAGATAAGATGTCGGGACAAATTTTTTTTTTTCATTTGATAGTATATAACATAACCTTTGATTTGATATATGTTTAAAGGACGCAGTATTTCCGGAACATTTTCAAAAGTTCAGTTGAAAAAGATCTATGTTTTTTACAATATTTTAAGTTTTGAACGCCCCCTATATAAGGGGAAATTGTCCAATTTTAATAAAAAGTATGTCAAATGAAAGATGTACTTATAATGTATTTAGAAAAAAAAAATTTGTGCTGATATATACATTTTTCAAAAAGTTATAGCATTTTTAAGTTGAAAATTTAAAATCGAAAATCGAAAATTTTAACACAAAAATAGTGTTTTTTTAACTACGGCAGCCGTTTAAATGTAGAAGAAAAAGTGTCGGGACAAATTTTTTTTTTTCATTTTATAGTACATAAAATAAGCTTTAATTTGATATATGTTTGAAGGACGCAGTATTTCCGGAACATTTTCAAAAATTAAGTTGAAAAAGTTAATTTTTGTAAAAAAGTTGCCATTTTAAATCCCCCCCAATGAGCAGGTTAAGTGATAGATTTTCAAAAAAATTATATCAAATGAAAGGGAAATATCTAAGGTTTCAATACAAAAAAATATTATTTTTATTTGTTCATTTTTCAAAAAGTTATGGCAGTTTTAAGTACAAAAAGTGAAAAAATTTCGAAAATTAGCGATTTTTAAATTTGTAATTTTTTTGGAGGTTTCCCCCATTTACGGGGAACGAGGGAATTTTTTTCAATTTTTAAGGGTAATGTCTTCAACTAGATACGATTTGTAATCTTTTGACGTATTTTTGAAAGAAATCGGTCCAGTGAGAGCTGAGAAAAAGTGGCAACAGACATAAAAAAAAAAAAACACATCATAGTAAAATTAATACCTTCTCCGCTTCGCATTGAAGCTAAAACATGTAAGTTATAATAAAACATTTGTAAAATACCTTCAGGACGTGGTGGAGGTGGTCTGGGAGGTTCTGAATGATCTTCAGTTCCACTTCTGCTACGACCATAAGTTGGTCCCAAATCACCATTGTGCAATGAGCTGTTAACTGTAAATATGCATTTTATACAATTGAATGAAAAAGTTTTTACTAAAGATTACAATATTAATAATAACCTGTAGTGTTATTATTCATAGCAGATGTTGGTCTATCTAACTGGCTTAAGGACACTGAATCCAAAAGAGGATTTCGAGATCTACCACGAGGCACTAAGTTACTTTTGGCCTCATCTAACATGTTTCTACTAGGTGGTTGTACATAAAGGTTTTGAGATGGATATGCTGATCCATTAATTCCTTCCATATAATTATTATTTTCTGTCAAAACAATTTTGTTAAATTAATTTTTTTGAACAAGAATTAAGTAACATACATTATTTATTAAATATAGGCATTTTTATATTTGATATTGTTTTTATTTACCTTTGGTGTGCAATGATGTAGGTTCAGATGAACCAGAATAATGTAGGTTACCATTGGCACTACCTTCTCTGCGTATAGTTAAACTTATTTTATCTTTAGCTGATTCTATCATTCTTTTGACTTCTTTGAGTGTCATACCATCAGTAATGGTCTGATTATTAATTTTTAACAGAACATCACCTTCTTGAACACTATTATCACCTTTAGTGCCTTCTTTAATATATATTCTACTTCCCAAAACTAATCCAAAATCTATAAAAAATTTCATTTAGTGAAATTACTATTTTTTAAGTGTGAAATGATGTAACTAACCATCTTTTTTCCTAGTCTTATTCAAATATATACGTAAAGTGTGAGGAGTATTTGAAGGTAATACCAGTCTACGTCTTAGAGATAAAGTAACACTTTCACCACATTCTCTTAAAACAGCAACGGCAGTACCATACTCCACATTATCTAGTGACACACCATTTGCAGTCATTATTCTGTCATTGACCCTGTAAAATTTTAAAAAAATTAGAAATTATTTTTATTTTCATAGTAGATTCTGATAGCGCACATTGTTCGCTACACTTTAAGACAAAAATTATTTTAATTGCTAACTATAAAGTTAAAAAAAAACTAATAATATTTTTTATCTTTTTTAAAAAGTGTGAAATTTTAAAAAACTGAATGTTTTAAACATTTTCTGACACCATGACAAATGCGCCTATATAAGTTCTACCATTAAATATTTGATACAGTTCTTACATGAGCTTTCCTTCTGCAGGTCCAGATTTTAAAACATCAGATACAGCAATTGATGGGTCTCCATTTGCAAAATGAGGATTATCACGCCCACCACTGACTGCAATACCAAATCCATAACCAGGTACTCGATTTAAAGTAACTTGATGAAATTCCCACACTATGCGATCTCCATTCTAAAATTATAATACATTATTAACTATTACATATACGCTAACTTTGCTTAGGTTTCATGAGTTTGTATTAATTGGAGTAAATTAAAAAAAAAAATTGAGGGGTTAAATTGATTTTTCTTTATCTTAAATTTTTTTGTATAAAAATATAGTGTTCAGTAAGTAAGGAAACAGGTCAATTGTTATAAATAATAAAAATAATATAAACCATTTTACTTAATTACTGAACACCCTATTCATCTTTTTCTTTTTTTTTTAAGAAGGTAAACACTTGATTTACAACTTTGATTGTGTTAAGCAATTTTCTAGAGCATACTAAATTTAAAACAATAATCATTGAAAATGTTATCTTTACGAGACGCGATTTTTATATAGGTTTAATTTGGTACGATTTATTTGATAAACCAATAAACAATTAATACATTTTGTTAAGTAATTCATTTCTTAACATAACAAATTTTTCGTGGACATCTGAGACATTTATATTCTATGAAACCTGATATAAAGTACAAAAACTGTATGTGGACCGCGTTAAATCAACGAACCGCACATGAAGTTAATCGATTTTATTTGTGTATTAATCAATGCCTTAGTATTAATAGCCAATGAGAAAATTGCCGAAACATTTTTTAATTTTGTATTTCTTGAAGTGTTTACTATGCTCGAGCACACAATTTAGTAAACAGCTATCTGTTTAATACGACACGCAGCTTCACGGGCTAGTATTAAAATCGAGATTGATAACCAACACATCTTATTTTTGTGGAATACGATTAACACACAAAAGCGTTAACTAATAAAAAATCGAGTAATTTGGTAGTCACCGTAATTAGCGATACTTAATTGGTAGTTTTATATGCCCATGGGAAAAATTGTTACACGTGCATAGTATTCGGACATGTTAAGATTAACGAAGCATACCGTGACTATGTATAATAATGTATTAAAAACAATTATAATAAATATTTTGAATACTTATTAGTGTTACTAAACAATGTCAGTTGAGGTATACAAAAGTCGTTTAACGGATAGCCTGACGGGTACATGAAGAAATTATGTTAATACGTGGAATTAAAAAAAATGCAATAAAAAAATTGTTGAGTATTATTTGAATGCTCTAAACGAACTGTTTTTAACGGGAGCTCACTGTTATAAGCATTACATGCTTACAAGTTAATTTAATAAGAAAAATTTGTATCTCGAGTTATCCCAAGTACCAATACTTATAATTGTTATAGACTCTCAAAATATCAAAAATTGGTCAAAAATAAATTACACTCAGTTTTTTTTATGGAAAAACTAATTATTATGAAAAAGACTCAGTTTCGAACATAAATAATTTTTTATAAGTCAAATAAGAGAATAACTTGTAAGTTTACTAATGTTTATGTTGAGAAAAATTAAATAAATCAAACTTAAAAGAAAAAATAATTTACTGGTTTTTTATGTAAATGAATTTAAATTGTGTATATTTATATATAATTTCTATAAATTAAGAAGATTTAAAGTTTCGTTAAATTTTATTACTTTCAGTCATGACATATCATCAAAATTTGTTTTATGATGCACAAGTTAATTATCAGAATTTTGAATACAACTTCCTTGATAGTAATAAAATTAATATAAACATCGGAATCCTCATAAACAACGAAAGATATAAATAAATAAAAGTATTGCATTTCACTAATTATTATTATAGTATTAAAGTTTTGACTGATAGACTGAGGTAAGTATGTCTCAGTTAAATTTATTATAAACACTAATGGGAATGCTTGTTTTTTTTGCTTCCCAAGTATTAAATTTCTTTGTCGAATTAACAGATGACAAATATTTCTACAGATTTCTCTAACCTGACTTAAACGTAAGCTTGTTATGGTAAAAAATGCAGTTCTGTCAAGTGTTTCCGCGTTGCAGAGAAATCATCATAAACACAAGATGAAAACGCTTTTTGGTATTTGATTGCGCTACAATTTAAAGTTATAGCTGTCTCTTAAGGGGAATTACATATTTTCAAATACAACTTGTTTGTTTATTTTCTTTGAATAAAATAAAACTAAGAGAAATCTCACCGAATTTATAATTGTCCGACGTGAGAATAACGATCTAAGTTACATGAGATAAACAGTAAATTTATTATAATTGTAAGCATGTACAAGCAATGTACACATTCTCAACAGCGGTCTAACGCCGATCAGCTGATAGTAGATGATTATTAATACGGTGGCCATTAACAACCAGATATTTTGTCACCGTTTCTAGTTGAAACACATTTTGTATCGCAGTAGACAAGCAATAACAGTGCAGGGAATGTAACATAAAAACGCTATACAACTGAGTCAAGTCAAAATCACTGACAACGAGGGGTTCCTTTTTATTGCCAGTGAGTTATTAGTCATTGCCTACCGTGACCATAGTAGACTAGACATTTTATTATAGTTGTCGTTACAATGGTAATAATGAAGAGCGCCTCTAAGTCACTTGGAAATTCTATTAATTTTCAGGGTCATCAACACGTTATTCAATGAACAAGAGTAATACTATAATTGTAACGCTTTATTATGAATACATACAACAAAACCAAATGACATGATTATGTTAAATAGAACTTTACTGCTAATTTTATGGCCAGTTTAGTTTTATTGTAGTTTAAAATATTTAATTATCAATTTCGACTAAATCGATACACTCCAAAAGAAAAATTTAAGCAACTGACAGATATATTAATCGTACCCGTGGTATTCCAACATACTTTAGTTGTAAATAATCCAGTTCTCATAAGTGACTTTAAATTTGTAAGAACAAAACACGAAGGCTAAAAAATAAAAATCTGTAAGTAAAATTTAATAATATGCACATTGTTAAGATATATTTAACGTCGATGTGCATAGGAGTTCTACATAGTCATATTCAGTTTCGCTGCGGGTAATAGAATATTCGACTTCATTGTTAAATAACTGGCTACCAATATCTTCTTTGTCAATTAATATTTCATGAGAATAGACCAACTACACATATACACGTGTTAAAAACAATGTGTCATCCAGAAAAATAGATATAATACAGGTCACGAGAGTATGCCCACTGTCTATTGAATGTCAAACAAGACGTTTGTATTTTTTAAGAGCCCCTCTGGGGTGTCGATCAATCAATTTTGAAACATAATACGCTTATAGTATTTCCTAGAAGTTCCAGAATGAACAAAAAATATAATAAATGTATAACAAAAAGTTTAGTTTATATTTTGTAACTGTCATGTTATAAACTGAATAAAAATGCGTATTATTATTTAAGTCAATAACTGCAATTAAAATTGCTGATTAATTTATTTGAATGCCTACACTTTGAAGTTATTAAATAAACTATGTTGGTTTTTATGTAAATAAGAAAGCTTAACACCTAAAAATTTAGCGGCATTGAAAAAATACAAAAAAATGAGTATGAAATAATAAAACCTGAATAAAATGTAAAATACGATTTGATAAGTATAATGAACGTTATACTAAACGAGTCAATAGACTTCCTCCAAAAAGTATATTGAAAATTTAATACCAAGAAATATTTTTCTCGAAATAATAGGTAAGTTGGTAAAAAGAAAAAATGAAGCCGGATAAAAATCGAGTATTATTTTAATCGCACAAAACACTATCAAAATATAACAAATCAGTATAATTTTATTACCATGCTTAAATATTATCTATGTTTTGTAAGGTTTTTATATGTAGCGCACGTTTTTTTTTTTTTTAACGGTTTGTTTTAGATAAGATGAACACCGCCATTTTGTTGTGGCATATGCGTTTTTGATGTATAAAATAGCTTAACGCAGTTTTTTCGATTCAAGTTTATTTTCTCATGAATAGAAGAGAATAATTATTAAAAAGTCTATTGTGAGTTGTGACTCAGAAAAAAAAACGCCACTATTGTTCTTTATTATACAACATACACGAGTATTGTGCGTACGTATTCAAGAGGATATCCGAAGACAGGACTTAGTTTAAGCAATATAAGGTTATAATGTTTCACATGCCAAACTGACTTGATAGTATACGGGGGTACGATACTATAATAATGATGGACAAGCAAATGGTTGTTAAATGTTAATTTAATATTTCCAACAAAAAAGTATTTGTTCGCGTGTTTGATGACCACAGAAAATATAATAATTACACGAACAAAGTAAACATAAAGAGTATATTGAATGTGCACTTTGCGTTTATTAGAAATTTTAATAACTGCATTTGGTTGTTAGTTACTACAACAAGACAACTAAGTATGAAACGCGCAGACACGTAAGTTGCCTTTGAAAACATTTTTTACGACTCGAATTTCTAGAATTCAAAAGTGCAAAAATGTATTGGATGTCAATTTTGTTTTCTAACGCGTAAACCAGAGAAAGCGCACATTACAGCAGACTTACATCGAAGCATAAATCAAGTGTTCGACATTTCCTGATTAATATTCTGTCGAGGTTAGAGTCAATAAACTTTTAGATAATGTACTTGTGGTCCATCTACGTTTTGTGACGACAACAGTGACAATTAGTATTCCGGCGCACACAGTCTCGTATTCTTTCTTGTGCTCGCACACTTTGGCCAACGATTTTANATATCTTATATAGTCTTGTGCTCGCACACTTTGGCCAACGATTTTATTAATTATTTGTCCAATGAAAGTAGTCATCGAGAGGGGTGCGCGCGTCCTTGGGAACTGGTTTGTCGACCGGCAAAACAGCCGGGAGTGAAGTCAATACCTCTCCTGCCGTGCATCGACAAGATGAGATAATCACGAGGAATGCGGTGGTATTCGTATGCACGCACACAGACTCATTAGTCTTTCATTTAATAGAATTAACAAAATTTGATATGGTTGAATTATGCCTTGACAATCTTGTCGGATGCTATTTTCGGTTGTAAATTTGGACATTAAATCGAACGAACGTCGGGTAATAAATTCGCCGGCTTGCGTTGCTCTCGAATTTAGTTTTAAAAACATTCACATGTATTCAT